AGAAAATTAGCCGACAAGCCGCAATTCCAGAGAATTTAGACAACAATGAGGACACTAAGAGAGACTTACATAGATATAATCTACATGGGAAGTAGAAAGTATAAAAAGACAAGATCTCCTGAGTAAATTGGGTGCACGGGGACCTTCGGGGGGTATTGAAGTGGGGAAGGGAGAGATAGGGAGGGGAGCAGAGAATAATGTAGGGCTCGATAAATATCAATAAAAAAAATTTTAAAACAAGAGGGAAAAAACATGCAAAAAAAGTACTTAACATAAAAGAGGGCTGGGAAGCCTGATAAGGAGGTGAGCACTTGTGGTCTTGAAGTTTCAATTACTTAGAATGATAGCATAGGAGTCACTTGAGCCCAGGAATTTGAGGCTAGCCTAGGTAACTTTGTGAGAAATCACCTAAAAGTAAGAAAGAGGAGGCAGAGATTTAGACCTCTAAGCCCTTCTTAAGAGTGGGTGGAGCTCTTATTCTTCATCAAATAAGCTTTTTGTTTGTTTGTTTTTGTTTTTTGATGCAGGCTTTCTCTGTGTAATAGCCCTAGCTGTCCTGGAACTCGCTCTGTAGACCAGGCTGGCCTCGAACTCACAGAGATCCGCCTGCCTCTGCCTCCTGAGTGCTGTGATTAAAGATGTACACCACCACCGTGCAGTAAAAATAACTTATGTTTTGCATCAGATGGAGATGATTACAGAAAGCAGGAACTTGTCAAAATACAGAGAACAACTGACTTTGGGGTGCCCAGTCCCAGTTACTACATCTATAACATAACACTGAAGGCTCAGAGAACAGCACAGAGGGGCAGAAAAGGATTGTAAAAGCCGGAGAACTAGGAAGGTTCTAGTCTTCTATATATGACAGGGAGACTACACCCTTGAAATCTCAACAATATGGATTCCTAAACAAGACCTGAACAATGGTAACACAACTTGGCATGCTAAGTTTAAAGATAATAATATATATGCATATAAACAATACAAATGGATTTAGAAGATTACATTTATATATTTATATGTGTAGTAATATAAATAAGAGGGCATGAATTTGAAAGGGAGGGAGGAAATGGGAGGGGTTGGATGAAGGGGAAAAACATGTAATTACATTTCTTTTGTTTTTTTCAAGACAGGGTTTCTTTATGTAGCACTGAACTCCCTCTGTAGACCAGGCTGGCCTTGAATTCAAAGAGATCCTCCTGCCTCTCCCTCCCAAGTGCTGAGATTAAAGGCTTGCACCATCACTGCCCAAGTATCATAATTTTGACACATGTACATAAAACTATAAATGATGGAATACACTCTTTGACCAGGTTACTTAATGTGCGTAAACCTCAGATCTGCTATCTGGAAATAATAATCTTTACCTCATATAACTGTTGCCGAAATTAAATAAAAAAGTAAGATTTTTTTTCTTTTTTACAGGACTTCTGGAAGAACAGCCAGTGCTCTTAACCAGAGCCATCTCTCCTAAAATAGTAAGAATTTATACAAGTGTTCAATTAAATTTTAATTTTATGATAAATGCAAAGTATATAATCCCATTGTTACTAACTATACTAAAACACCTCAACTACAAATTCCTCTATAGTTAAATTTTCAGAAACTTAACAGCATAGTGAGGAAAGACCACACAAAGCTAAGAGATAGTGGCAATTGATAAACATAGAAGAAAAATAGGAAATAGAAACTTGCTATTTGAGGCAGGAGGATCAAAAGTTCAAGGCCAGCTTGGGCCAGCAAGTTCCAGATCAATCTCACAAAAAAGAAACAAACCCAGAATGCCATAATTACACTGTAGATTACCTATGTAAACACACCAGAGAGCACCAAAAATTAGTGATTTAAATTCTTAGCGTACTTTTTACAGTGTCAAAGTACATACTCCAAAGATACATACTAATCTAAAAAGAAAAAAGAATAACTTTATAGTAAGAATAATCTGGCAGATAATACTGTAGTCAAGAGGTCAAAATTACACTACCATTAATATGTAGCAACACCATGTATCCCCTGCTATCACAGACTGAGTTATCACTTTTGTGGTAATCTTGCCAAAAATGTGGAGTTTAGCTAGCCAACCACGGTAATGCATGTTGTTAATACTAGCATTTAATAAACAAAAGGATTTTATAATTGTGGTTAATATGGTTTACTTAATGAGTTCTTGGTCTTTGAAGACTATACAGTGAGACCTCATCTCTGAAAGAAAAAGAGAAGAGGGGAAGGGAGAAACTGTTAGTACCCTTTCAAGGAATAACTTAAAGAGGAGGGAGAACATGTAAGTAAACACAGTATAGAAACGTGAATATGATCATAGAACTGAAAAGAGGAGTTTTTGTGGGGAAACTGAGATACTCTGGTTAAGTTCAATATTTTAGTTTATAATATATCTTTGTAACTTGAAAATCACCTGAAAATAAATGCAGAAAGAAAAATGATGTAGTAAGAGAGTAGTACTTCTGGTTTTTTCTACTTCTAACCTCTCATTTCCTTTGAACAAACCCATATTTAACAACCCTTTCATCTTTTGCTAACGCTAATCTCCAAGGCTTCTTCCTATACTGACTATAAACTCCTAATATAAGATTTATGAAATCTGGCTATGTCTGCTTTTTGTGTCTAGAGCACATAGTATAAGTCTGGCACATTGCAAGGAGTGTATTTGTTGAGAAACCAAAAAAATAATGACAACTGTATTAGCTTGTATTAATTTATCACTATACTAACAAATTAGCATAAACTTAGTGGATCAAAATACAGACATATTATCTTGAGGAAATGAGAATCAGAAATCTATGGTGAATCACACTAGATTAGAATTCAGACAAGAGCACTGTTTCTTCTGGGGACCCTAGGCAACTGTTTAATTCCTTGCCTTTTCCAGCTTTCTAGACTATCTGCATCCTTTGACTTGGTGACCCAAGTCCTGTAACAGCATCACTCCAAACTCTGCCTCGATTCTTAGATCTTTCTCAAATGATTGCCAACTTACCTGTCTCCTTACAAACACTGGTAATTAGATGAACCAAAATAATTTCCCTACTTCCATCTCTAATAGTCTCATCTACAAAGGTACTTTTAACAATGTAAAGTTCTAAGGATGAAGACATGGACATCTTTGAGTTGTCATTATTCAACCTACTACACATACCAATTTCTTTTTCTTTTTATAAAAAGCCTATGCAACAAATAACTAAAAGCAACCTATACTTAGTGACTGTCTTTATTCAATCTTAATTTTGTGGTTTGTTTTCTGTTTCTATTGTTGGTTTTGTTGCTGTTGTTTTGCGGAAGGGTCTCACATAGTCAAGGATGTCTATGAACTTCTAATCCTCCTGCCCCCACCTCCCCAGCACCAGGATTACAGGTATGTGGTATATGTGTGCTGAGATTGAACTCAAAGCTTTGCTCATGCATGTTAGGGCAAGCACTGTGTACTAAACTGAGCCATAATCCCAGTCCCAATCTTAATTTTAAGCATCCCATATAACACTGAACTTTCTCATGAGTTGACTGAGGTTACCAAGGCTTGTTCTCCTTATATTTGACCTACATCTGCTGGAAACTATTCTCATTTTAATACCTTCTATGCTGCTTTCTCCCTCATTTGTCAGTCTCCCTCACACAAAAAAATCTATCATAGAACAAAATATCTGGTAACTTAGTTGTTCTCCCCATTTTTTTCTTTAATTTTTCCTCACTAAACAAATTGAGCTAACTAACCTCTATAGCTTCTGGTGATTTCACATTGCTGTAAATTTCAAAGGCATGAGGACAGAATATCAATAGAAGTTTTCAAAGAGTTAAGAAAATCTTTACTATTTAGAAAATATTTGAATTTCATGTTTTTTGTAAGAAAAAGGTAGATACTATACTCAATACACTTCTATCATACACTTAATTATATAGTGCAACAATCAACCAATGAGACATATAAACTCTTTTTTTTATTTATTTTTTAAATTCAGTTCTTAAAATGAGATATGAATGAGAATTTGGGGAATTTCCTGAAACTAATAAAAAAATTTCCCAAAGAATGTCACAACATAGACTTTTTCTTTTTCAAAACAGGAAAGGAAAGCAAGCATGATGGGCATATGCCTACGATCTTAGCATTAGAGAGGTTGAGACAGGAAGAACATTAGTTTGAGCCCAGCCTAGGCTACATACAGAATTCAGGTCCAGCTTGGGCTACACTGGAGACTTTGTCTCAAAATGGCAAATGAAAAATGGTAAATATAGAGTGAAAATTAGTTGTATTTCCAAAGGCTGGATATTTTTTTTTATAGTTCAGAGGTAGAGCATTTGCTTAGCATGTACAAGGCCCCAAATTTGGTCCAACCATCATAATCTAAATAGGCAAATGAATGAATTAGATAGAGAGAAACAGAGTATAATTCAACAATAGAATACTTGAATAAGGCTCTGAGTTTATTCCCAGCATTGAATTAGATAGAGAGAAGCAGAGTATAATTCAACAATAGAATACTTGTATAAGGCTCTGGGTTTATTCCCAGCACTGCAAAAATTAAGATAAAAGTAACTGGGGCTGGAGAGATGGCTCAGAGGTTAAGAGCACTGACTGCTCTTCCAAAGGTCCTGAGTTCAATTCCCAGCAACCACATCGTGGCTCACAATCATCTGTAATGAGGTCTGGTGCCCTCTTCTGGCCTGCAGGCATATATGCAGGCAAAACACTTTACATAATAAATAAATCTTTGAAAAAAAAAGTAATTGACTGGAAATATATCTCACTGGTGGAATACTTACTTAAGATGTAAAAAGGCTCTAGATTCCATCCTCAGCATTGCCAAAAAAAGGAAAAACAGGGAAAGATAATTTTTAAAAAGTTTGCCATGGGCTCCTAACAGATTAGAAAGGAACATAAATTCTAGACAACAGTAGAAGGGATCTTCACTTTTCTTCAACCTGGATTACTCTGGCGGTCAAGGCAGCTAAACATGGAATTCATAAAGCCAAGAAAATTATAAACCCACCTGTAGTTCACACCAAGCAACTTCAACCCACGTTTCAGTGTCCAGTCCTTTATATACTGTCTTAAATGCTCCTCTTCCCAGCTCTATATCAAATTTCAGGAACCTGCCACTAGGGGAAGTTGCTACAGCCTTCATTTCTGCTTCTTCTTCCATTTCCTTTTCATTTTTGTCCTTGATGCAATCTTTTGAGGATTCTGAGGTTGCCTTTGAACACTGCTCATATTTAACTTCTTGTCCACCTCTCAGCACATTGGTAGGAAGCTTATCTACTCTTGAAATGTTTGTTGCAGCCTTTATTCTTTCATCTCTAGGGGAAGATTCAGCAACTTTGTCATCTTCAGTCATCTCAACGCTCTTTCGAAAAAATCTCTTTCTTTCAATGTTTTCCCCGGCAGTAGAGAAGGTGCTTGTTTTTTCCTTCATTCTAGCTTCTACAATCAGAGGTGCAGCAATCTGAGCAACCCTGTTTTCAAAGGAAACCCCATCAGGTTTCTCAGAATCTTCTGTGCTAGTTGGCTCCCCAGAATCCGTAGCCATTATAACTAAGGTTGGCACTGAACTTTTTCCTGTTTCACTCTTCAGTCAGTCCACTTACATCTCAGATATCAGAATTCTCAGAATACACTTCCTTTTATGTGGTCATATATTCCCATAGCAATCTAAGGGAGGGGAAAAAAAGATAATTTAATGTCACCCTACAAGAGAAATCATTAAGGGGAAAACAAGGACCTGATTTTTAATTGCTTCTTTCTTAATAAGTTTATTCTTGTTTCTGTACTACTTAGCAACTAAGACTCCAGGGACTATGCCTTATCTTATTTAATATAGCTACAGTGACTAATACAGCACTTGGCATATAGTTCAGTAAGTCTCACATGCAGAAACCTAGTTCTCAGCTCAGCTCAATCCACCAAATTTAATACAGGTATCCAAATCCTGAATTCACTTAGCTATACATAGTAAGTAAAATTGCATGATTTCTATAAGACTTTTGTGTAAGCTTCTAGAAATCATCTAATAGTAGTTTTTTTAATTGTAGTAATATATATGTAGAATCAAATTTCCTATTTTAACTATTTTAAGTGTATGGTCACAATGTTGTGCTATTGTCACTTGTTGAAATTTTTATCATTTGTGTGAGTTGGTTCTCTAGTTCTACCTTCGTGTGAGTTCCAGAAACCAAACTCGAGCTGTCTGCATGGTAAGCACTTTATACACTGAGACATCTTGCTGATCCTATTATCAATTCAGTTCATTCCCAAAATGATTCATCATTTTAAACCGAAAATCTATACGCATTATAAAAGTGCCCTATCCAACTGAGTGCTATGGAATGCACCTACAGTCTTAGTTAAGTAGGAAGCTGAGGATGGAGAATCACCCAAACCTGTGAGTTCCAAGCTGGCATGGACAAACAACAAAACTAATTTCTAAAACAGAAGAAAAGCAGTTTTTAGGGGACTGAGAATGTGGCTTACTAGGAGATGTATGCTTTGCAAATACAAAATTCTATGTTTGATTGCCAGAACTACCAAAAAAAAAATCTTATCCACATCTACCCCCCAATCCACATTCTACTCTCTATTTCTGAATTTTCTTATTCTAGATAATTCATTTAAGTGGACACATACAGTATTTATGTCTGTTTTATTTCATTTGGCATAATGTATTCATTTCTTTTTAAGATTGGCTAATAATACATGAAGAAATATTCAATTATCTCTAGTCACCAGGAAAATTAACATCAAAATTCCATCCTACCCAAGCAAAAGTGGCTATCATAAACAAAATGGAACAGAAGTCTGAAGAGATGGCTCAGTGTTTAAGAACATTTACTGCTCTTACAGAGGATCCAGTTCAGTTCCCAGAACCCACATGGAAGTTCACAACTATCTGTAACTCCAGTTCCAGGGGTTCCAAAATCTCCTCTGACTTCTCTGGACTCCTGTACCCATGTAGTGCACACGCGCGCGCGCGCACACACACACACACACACACACACACACACACACACACACACCAAAGAAAATAAATATATTGTTAAAAAGAAAATACAGAACAAATTATGAAGATGGGGGAATTTAAATTAGTCCAGTCACTAAGGGACTTAATACAATGGTTCCTCAAAAAATTAAAAATAGAACTACCATATGATCCAACTATAAAGCTTCTGGTATATAAAAAATCAAAGTCAGTTTACGCTATACAAGGTATGGTGGTGTACACTTGTAATATCAGTACTTAGGATGGAGTACCTAAAGTTTGAGGCTGGTCTGGGCTGCATAGTGAGACTGTCTATAATAAATGAGGGAGGAAGGGAGGAGCAGACTTCATCATTCCTTACTACATCATGCATTGATAATATGCTACTAAGTTATATGCCTTGAATGACACAAAGTTAAAAATAATGTATGTCACTTACTTTCAAATGGCTAAACAAATGAAACAGCTGTGAGTATTCATGTACCAGTGCATGTGGAAAATAGACATTGATGCGCATTGTCTTCTTTACTCGTTTATCACTTTTTCTGAGACAGGATCTTACTATTTAGCCCTGTCTGCCAGAACTATGTAGACTAGGCTAGCCCCAAACTTACCACATCTCTGCCGGGCGGTGGTGGCGCATGCCTTTAACCCCAGCACTGGGAAGGCAGAAGCAGGCGGATCTCTGTGAGTTCGAGGCCAGCCTGGTCTACAAGAGCTAGTTCCAGGACAGGAACCAAAAACTACGGGGAAACCCTGTCTCGAAAATCCAAAACAAACAAACAAACAAACAAACAAAAAACTTACCACATCTCCATCTTCTGAGACATAAAGAAAGCAGCTACCAATTAGGAATCCAGGTTAACATCATGAACAAGTTTCATTATATTATTTTGCTACTTTTTAAAAAATATGTTTGGGATTTTTTTTTTCAATATGAAAATATTTCAGGGGGCTGGGGAATGCTCTGGTAGTAAAGTACTTGTATGGACACCTACATTTAGATCCTCAGCACCCTTTTAGAAGCCAGGTGCAGCAATGCATGCTTGCAATTCCAGGGCTGGGGAGCTGGAGAAGGGAGAATTCTTAGAATGTGCTGGCTATCTAGCCTAGCCAAATCAGTAAGCCTTAGGCTCAAAATATAAAGTAGAAGGCTGGGTGTGAGCATGTGCCTTTAATCCTACAGCTCAGGAGGCAAAGGCAGGCAGATCTTGTAGATTTAAGATCATCTTGGTCTACACAGTTGTAGGCAGCCAAGACATAGTTAAGACCTTGCCTCAAAAAGAAAAGATGGCAAGCAATTAAAGAAGACAATGCGCATCAACGTCTATTTTCCACATGCACTGGTACATGAATACTCACAGCTGTTTCATTTGTTTAGCCATTTGAAAGTAAGTGACATACATTATTTTTAACTTTGTGTCATTCAAGGCATATAACTTAGTAGCATACTATCAATGCATGATGTAGTAAGGAATGATGAAGTCTGCTCCTCCCTTCCTCCCTCATTTATTATAGACAGTCTCACTATGAAGCCCTGGTGAGAGAATTCAACAATCAGATAAAACTAGATTGCTTAGAAATAGAAATGCGAGTATTAAAACAATAAAGTAAGGGGTTGGTAAAATAGCTCAGTGGATCTGCACACTTGTGCTGATCATAAAACAATTTGCTGGAGTCAGTTCCCTCCTTCTACCAAGTGAGTACTGGGAATTCAATGTGGGTTGTCAAGCTTCACAGCAGGTACTTTTATCTACTGAACCATCTCACGATCTCCTGAATTTTCCTTTATAATCATTTGAGTTGTATGTATAAATTCTTGAGAGCAGAAGAGATGGTTTAGAGGTTAAGAACACTGGTTACTCTTCCAAAAGATCTGGGTTCAATTCCCAGCACCCACATGGTGACTCACAACTGTCTATAATGGTAGTTCCATGGAATCTAATACCCCTTCCTAGCCTCGGTGGGCATCAGGCACAAATGTGGTACATGAGCAGACATTTATGCAGAAAAAAACCCATACAAATAAAATAGTAAAAATTTAAAACTATATGTATAAATTCTATATATTTTTCTGAATGTATATTTCACAAGCACAATGCCTTAGGTTTCTAAAGCTATAATAAAACATCAGGAGCAAAAGCAACTTGGATAATAAATGATCTATTTTATCCTATACTTCCAGGTAACAGTACACCATTGAGGAAAGTCAGACAGAAACCTAGAAGCAAGAACTGATACAGAAACCATGAAGAAATGCTGCTTATTGTATTGCTCCCCACAGTTTGTTCAGCCTGTTTCCTAAAACAATCCAGAACCAGCTGCGCAGAGATGGAACCACAGTGAACAGGGCCTTCCCACATATATTATCAATTATGACAATGCAACACAGGCTTGCTCCCAGGCCAATCTGCTTACTGCATTTTTTTTCAATTGAAGTTTCCCTCTTCCCAGATGATTACAGTTTGCATCAACTTGACAAAAAAACTAACCACCATAGGAAAAGTTTTTTTTTTTTTTTTGATTTTTCGAGACAGGGTTTCTCCGTAGCTTTTGGTTCCTGTCCTGGAACTAGCTCTTGTAGACCAGGCTGGCCTCGAACTCCCAGAGATCCGCCTGCCTCTGCCTCCCGAGTGCTGGGATTAAAGGCGTGCGCCACCACCGCCCAGCAGGAAAAGTTATTTTAAAAAATAATAATGAATATAAAATACTTTCCAAAAAGATTTGCTGCAAACTGGCTACACATGCTTTTTTTAAAAAGTAGGTTTTGCTTTGTAAGTAAAGGGCTTTTGCTAATTGAGCCACTTACTTGATATCAATATAGCAAAAAGTACTGACCATGAACTAGTTTTAAGAATAGCTTTAAAAAATCTTGATTTTACACAATAGTTCTAATATACCCACTAATTCTTCATTTTGTTTAGTTTGACATTAGGAAATGCACTCTAAACAACCCCCATAAAGGACAAATTGATACCAAAATATGCATTTTGGTAAATATTCTAGTATATTCAACTTAAAATTTTATCAGAGATCCATACTTCTCACCTTTCATAAAAGTCCATTTGAAATGGATCAAAGACTTTAAATATGACGTAAACGTCTAGAAAAAACTTAGGTGAAACATGTTAAGATACAGGCACAGGCGTAGGCATGTAGTTTCTAAAAAGGAATTTAATAACACAAGAAATAATCCTAAGAATTTATAAATGATACTGTATGAAATTAAAAGCTTCTGCCTAGCCAGGCGGTGGTGGGGCACACCTTTAATCCCAGCACTTGGGAAACAGTCTCTTATGTAGCCCAGGCTGGTCTCAAACTCGCTACGTAGCCTAACGACTTTTAACCTTGTTCCTCCTGCTCGACCTTCAGGGTGCTGAGATTATAGATGTGTGCTATCAAGCCTGGTTTATGTAATGCCAGGGATTGTACTCAGGGCTTTGTACCTTCTGAACTACATTTCCAACCCAATAAAACAGCAGTGGAGGAAGACATTTGCATTGACTTCTGTTCTCCACATGCTTACTCACAGGTTCATACACACACACACACACTGTCAAAACAAAAATGTATTAAATATTCACAAAAGCCGGGCTGGAGAGATGGCTCAGTGGTTGGGAGCATTGCCTGCTCTTCCAAAGGTCCTGAGTTCAATTCCCAGCAACCACATGGTGGC